CCGTGTTGTACATGAACGAGTACACAGTGGGTGGAGCGGGGGTAACGGCAGAGACAGTGGACGATAGGGGCCCCCACAGCATCAGGAGAGAACAGTTCTGACTAGGCTTTGATAATGAGGTTGCAAATATTGTCATTACTGTAAGAGGTAAGGTGTCATCAGGTTGTCCTAATTCGGAGAATGTCTTACCTGTATTTTATATAAAATTACACACTTTGGGTCAGCTTTTCTTGAGAGTTTCAGTTATATTTAATGTAATTGTGTATTTTAATATGGATGATATCAGGTGATTTCTGCCTCTTTTAAAATCATTTGTGGCCTTTTATGAGTTTTCTCTCCCTTTACTCCCTTTTACATTAGCCGCTTTAGGAACCTGTGACGTGAGCATTCAGGATGTCATTTGTACTCACTGAGATTTTCTAAAATTCCTTGTTCCTTGATTATTTACAAGTTTGATAAGAATTGAAGATCATCTTAAAGTTTTTTTCTATTCATCTTTGAGAGAGAGCGAGAGAGCGTGCGAGTGGGGGAGGGGCAGAGAGAGAGGGAGACACAGAATCCCAAGCAGGCTTCAGGCTCTCAGCTGTCAGTACAGAGCCCTATACAGGGCTCAAACTCACAAACCGTGAGATCGTGACCTGAGCCGAAGTCGGACACCTAACCGAGTAAGGCACCCAGGCACCCCGAAGAGCATCTTTTTAAAGACTTACTGCTTAATGAATTTTCGAAAATACTGAATAAGAAGTTAATACTGGGAAATAATTGAAGCCTTACACTGTGGAGTATGTTGTCACTTAAAATGACTGCAGAAAAATTTTGCTTTTAGTCTACTGGGAAGAAATAACTGTTTTTTGTGTATTTGCTATTTGTCTCTGAACCCTCTTAGTGATGTAGCACTGAAAGATTGTCAGACCCTTAGAATTTTGATATTGAGGGACATTATCTTCCCTCTTTTAAAAAAAATGTTAACATTCATTTTTGAGAGAGAGAGAGAGAGCAAGCATGAGGGAGGGAGGGGCAGAGAGCAGGAGACACAGAATCTGAAGCAGGCTTCAGGCTCCTAGCTGTCAGCACAGAGCCTGACAAGGGGCTCGGACCCACAAACTGCAAGATCACGACCTGAGCCGAAGTTGGAAGGTTAACTGACTGAGCCGCTCAGGCGCTCCTTATCTTCCCTCTTATTACGGGACTTTTTCTTCTGTAGAACTTTTTTTTTTAAGTTTATTCTGAGAGCGAGCATGCCTGTGCATATGGGAGGGAGAGGCAGAGAGACAGAGAATCCCAAGTAGGCTCCACACTGTCAGTGTGGAGCCCAGTACAGGGCTCAGTCTCATAAACCGTGACATCATGACCTGTGCCGAAATCAAGAGTCAGATGCTTAACCAACGGAGCCACCCAGGTGTCACAGAATTTTTTCTTTTTTAAAAAAACGTTCCCATTATATGTGTTTTAACTGTAGTCTGACCAGAGTTAATTTACCTAAGTCTTCATACCATTTTTTGTTCCCCTTAATAGCTCTTGATAGCAAAAGCTTCTGTTGAATGTTGTTTGAGGGGGTGTTTTTCCTGCCTTAGTTCTGAACCAAGTGAGAAATAGACAAAGGAGCCAGACAGATGGACATCAAAATAGCCTTTTTTTTTGGTGGAACCATGGCAGAGCCCAGCTTGGAGGGCTTGATAACCTTGAACGTCCAGACTAGAAAGCTTTAACCACCCAGTCTGGGGCAGTGCTGGGGAGCAAGGCAGCTGTGTACTCTGTCCGTGGGCAGATGCCCAAGGGAAAAGGGCAGAGGAAGGGGCCAGGCTTTGCTTACAAAATTCTTCTTCCCAGACTCCCCCACCAGATCAGTCCTCCTCCAGTGAGGAGGCAGAGGCCAGATGGAGTGTTGTACCCAAGGAGGCCACTGTAGTTGGGAAGTTGAAGCCAGAGCAGGAGACACCAGGAAAAGACCTCTCATCACAGAGAGGCTGATGTGCCCTCAAGCCACCGCTGCCTTGGATGTTGACAGCAGCCTCAGTGGCAGAACCAGGGCTACAGGAACACTGCAAAGAGCTGAGGGCTCTGGGAGAAGCTCACCCTGTCATGAAAGAGAAATAAAACTCGCCCACGAGCGCTTTCGTTCACATGCTGGTACCGATTGATTTTGCTTCATTCTCTTACCCTGTGTGTGTAGATTAGGTTTTTGTGGGTTGGTTATTTTGTTTCTTAGTTTAATTCTCAAAAATTAGAGAAGAGTTTTGGCTGAAATTTTAACCTCTGAACCTTTGGGAGACAGTTGGGAAAATGTGACATGGTAATTTCACTTCCATGGTGTTAGGATCAAGGAAGATCGTGTACTTTGGGAAACAAATCCACATTAGGGGGAAGGTACTGGGAAGCGGGCTTGTATCACCAGTGATAAAGAGAATTGATTTCCAGACATCAGCATCAGAGCCCACGTGTTCACATTCAGACTTGAGCAAACAAGGTCCTAACATTAGACACCCCCTTGGCATTGACAGATTTCCGCGCGCTCCCCAAATTACAAATGACACCTGCCTTGTTTTTTCCTGTCTTAGCCGCAGGCCTGCTCAGCCCTGGTTTGCGACGCCCCGGAGAGAGCCCAGTGCAGCTGTTTGTATTGGCTTTGGGGTGGGGCGTGGCGGGGGGGGGGGGGGGGGG